CAACCCCTACCCACCTGGGTGAGCAGAAAGAAGAGTAGACTATGGTCTACTTTTGAACATGGCCCAGACCCTCAAAGGGCATCATGACGACGTGGCAGATGCAGACTGCAGAATCTACCTTGGAATCCACATTTGGTAAGAAGCAGATAACAGTTCACCGACAACTTCGGGTGTCTGAGATTTTCGGGGGATCCAAGGACTCAGAAGAGCCCCTCAGACATCTGTGCCAAGAGATCGAGCTGCTGGGCCTCTCTCCCCATCTCTTCTCCCTCGCATGAGATGCTGCCATATGTAACCCTTCGTAAGACCCTGGATTCTCTATGAAAATCATATATGGCATTTTTTTTAAAGATTTTATTTTTTTATTTTTTTATTTTTATTTTATTTTATTTATTTTTTTAAAGATTTTATTTCTTCATGAGAGACCCACACACACAGAAAGAGAGGCAGAGAGAGAAGCAGGCCCATGCAGGGAGCCTGATGCGGGACTTGATCCCAGGTCTCCAGGATCACGCCCTGGGCCAAAGGCAGGCGCTCAACCGCTGAGCCACCAGGGCGTCCCGATTTTATCGCCCAGGGATCCCCATAGATGGCATTTTGAAGAAAACTGAATATGGACTGCATCAGCAAATAGTGTATTGGGGCAGCCCAGGTGGCTCAGCGTTTAGCGCCACCTTTAGCCCAGGGCATAATCCTGGAGATCCAGGATTGAGTCCAACTTCAGGCTCCCTGCATGGAGCCTGCTTCTCCCTCTGCCTGTGTCTCTGCCTCTCTCTCTCTCTCTCTGTGTGTGTGTGTCTCTCATGAATAAATAAATAAGTTCTTTAAAAAAAAAGAAAGAAAAGAAAATAATGTATTATGTTAATGTTGAACTTCATGGGTATAATAATGTTTTTGTAGTTATGGAAGAGAATGTTCTTGTTCTTGGCCAGCCCTGGGCCATGCCTGGGGAGGTGGCCTAAGACATTCTTTAAGATTTCTGCTCACCCCAGTCCCAGTCCAGTTGGCAGAACTGAGGAATGCCCTCGAGTAGCAAGGAAGAAGTGAAGTGCCCCATGGCTCCAGGAGGTGGAACATAGAAGGGGAAGGAGAAGAGGCCCTGTGCCTACAGAGCGTCTGGGTAAGGCTGGGAGGGTGTGGCTAGGCTCCCATGGAACCCACACCTGAAAGCAGACAGGATTGAATGTCTTAGTGGATGCCAGAAAGGAGAAATATTGATAACCAGAGGACATCTGGTGGCTCAGTCAGTTAAGCGACCAACTCTTGATTTCAGCTCAGGTCATGATCTCAGGGTCGTGAGATGGAGCTCCTCGTCGGGATCCACACTCAGCAGGGAGTCTGCTTGAGTTTCTCTCTTTCTCCCTCTGCCCCTCCTTTTCTCTCTCCCTCCCTCTAAAATAATTAAGTAAAATCTTTTTTAATTTTTATTTTTTTTTTATTTTTTTTTAAAGATTTTTTATTTATTCATGATAGACACATAGAGAGAGAGGTGGAGACACAGGTAGAGGGAGAAGCAGGCTCCATGCAGGGAGCCCGACGTGGGACTCGATCCCGCGACTCCAGGATCGCGCCCTGGGCCAAAGGCAGGCGCCAAACCGCTGAGCCACCCAGGGATCCCCTAATTTTTATTTTTTTAAAGATTTATTTATTCATTCATGAGAGACACAGAGAGAGGGAGAGAGAGGCAGAGACACAGGCAGAGGGAGAAGCAGGCCCCACACAGGGAGCCTGACGCGGGACTGGATCCCGGGACTCCAGGATCATGCCCTGGGCCGAAGGCAGGCGCTAACCCACTGAGCCACCCAGGGATCCCAGTAAAATCTTTTTTAAAAATCTGGTTAGGGATCCCTGGGTAGCTCAGCGGTTTAGCGCCTGCCTTCGGCCCAGGGCATGATCCTGGAGTCCCGGGATCCAGTCCTGCATCAGGCTCCCTGTGTGGGGCCTGCTTCTCCCTCTGTCTGTGTCTCTGCCTCTCTCTCCCTCTCTCTCTCTCTGTGTGTGTGTCTCATGAATAAATAAATAAAATATTTTTAAAAATCTGATTATTACTAAGGACTTCCCATAGCTAAGAGAAATTAAAAAAAAAAGTATTGATAACCAAGCCCCATGCCTCTGGCACATCAGGAGCCCTCTAGAAAATTAGAGGCACCTCTGGAGAAGATGGCTAGGGAGTCCCTGCTCCTCTATGGAGAAGTCTGGAAACAGAAACTAGATTTGATTACAGAAAAATAAAATAGTTAACATTTCTTGGCCATCTAAATTTGCATCTGGACATTTATAGTCACTATTTCAGTACTTGATTTTTCTTTTTTTAAAAAAGATTTTATTTATTTATTCATGAGAGAGACAGAGAGAGAAGCAGAGACACAGGCAAAGGGCAAAGCAGGCTCCATGCAAGGAGCCCGACGCAGGACTCGATCTCGGGTCTCCAGGGTCACCCCCTGGGCTGAAGGTGGCGCTAAACCGCTGAGCCACCCAGGCTGCCCATTGATTTGTTTTTCACTGAGAATATAAGTATGCATTATTTGTGTAAAGTGAGTTTATTGCATGATTCCACTTACATGAAGCACCTAGAGTCATCAAATTCCTAGAAACAGGAAGTAGAGTAGTGGTTGCCAGGACTGGTGGGGAACAAGAATGAGCATTAATGTTTAATAGGTATGGAGTTTCAATTCAAAAGGTTGAAAATTTTCTGGAGATAGATGGTGATGATGATTGTATAACAATGCCATTGTACTTAAGGCTACCAAACTGTACACTTTAAATGGTTAAAATGGCAAATTCCATTTACACATATACTTATCACAAAAAAATTAATCTAAAAAAGAAAAATGGATACTCAATGTATCCATGAATGAACAAGGGACTTGACTGGAATGGGCAGAGGCAGAAGGGTCAGTGTATAAAGGGGCAAAGTAAGGATGGAGAGACACTTCTCTCCTGAATCCAGAGTGACTATTGGTAGGGTACTTTGTGCACTGAAGATGTATTCCTTTTGTGTGCAGCTGAGTCTGAGGCACAGGAACATCCACACTTCATATCTTTCAAAGTCTGGAGATATTGCTATGAAAACAATGCTTTGGGGATCCCTGGGTGGCGCAGCGGTTTGGCGCCTGCCTTTGGCCCAGGGCGCGATCCTGGAGACCCGGGATCGAATCCCACATCGGGCTCCTGTTGCATGGAGCCTGCTTCTCCCTCTGCCTGTGTCTCTGCCTCTCTCTCTCTCTGTGTGACTATCCTAAGTAAATAAAAATTATTAAAAAAAAAAAAGAAAAAAAAAGAAAAAAAAAAGAAAACAATGCTTTGGAAAGGAGTAAAGGGACACCTGGGTGGCTCAGTTGGTTAAGCGTCTACCTTTGGCTCAGGTCATGATCCCGGGGTGCTGGGATTGAGTCCTGCATCTGGCTCCCTTCTCAGGTGGGAGTCTGCTCCTCCTTCTCCTTCTGTGCCCCCACACCCCAGCTCGTGTTCTCTGTCTTGCTTACTCTCTCTCAAATAAATAAATAAAATCTAAAAGGGGGGGGCACTTGAGTGGCTCAGTGGTTGAGCATCTGCCTTTGGCTCAGGGCATGATCCCAGGGTCCTGGGATCGAGTCGCGCATTGGGCTCCCTGCTGGGCGCCTGCTTCTCCCTCTGCCTATGTCTGCATGTCTCTCTGTGTCTTTCATGAATAAACAAACAAATAAATAAAATCAATCTAAAAAAAGAAATAAAAACTCCCACCATCAGCAGTATTTCTTGAGCACCCCCTTTGTGCTCAGCATCACTGTAGGACCTTTAGATAAGTGTACACTGGAGAAATAGCATCTAATCATTAAGGTGGCTTTTTCAGGGCAGAAACTGGGAAAAAACATAGTAAACTCCAATGCTACACCAGAGCAATGTAGTCTGGCAAAGCCATGGTAGGCTTCCCAGGGGGGATGAGACTGGGACAGGGACCTGAACGCTGGGCTGGATGTGAATAAGAAGAGAGTAGTCGCTTGGAGGGTGTGTGTAGAGGAGTTGTCACTCTGAGCAAATGCAAAACAGACAACCCGTCCTCAGGGAGCTCTAGTGTGTGAGGTTGGGAATGCAGGGCACGCTAAAACAAATACGGGAAATGTGTATTATTCCATAGGAACTAAGTCCCTAGAAAGGAGAAATCTTCTGTGTCCTGTTCCTCACCATATCCTTATGACCTAGAACAGTGCAGGCACAAGCTACGGACTCCATAAACGCAACCGGATGAAGAAATGCCGCAGTGGAGGTGCAGAATAATAATGTTGGTAGTCAGCATTTGCCAAGCACATACTTGTGCCAGACAATATGCTTAGCGTTTTACACTAAAACATTATCTGACCTCCAACACTTGGAGAGTGTTGGAATTATCTCATTATACAGACCTGAGCAGCAAGGCTTTACAGTGGTGACAGCTGTTTTAAGGTTAGGTAGCCAGCGAGTGGCAGACTTAAGACCTGAATTCACCAACGCGGAACCGAACGCGGAACCCCACGGACATCCTTTTCCAGTTCGCTGTTTGTGGGCTTCTGTCTGGCAGCTGATGGAAAGGGCAGGGAAAGAGCCAAGACAGGGCGCCCACTGCAGAGAACACAACACACAGTGATGTGCCTGAGCCAGAGCGGTTACAGGCTGGACGGAAAAGAAAGGACCGCTTTTCTCCCCAAGGGCTTGTAAGCAAAGCTCCGGGCTTGGCGCTTCCTGGATGTGGGGAGGACCACGTTTGTCCTCTGCAAGCAGAAAAGATGCCAGTAGCCCTGAGAGAAAGAGCTTTCCCCTGGTTCCAGGACCGCGGGCGCACCGGGCGCTGCAGACTGCACACTCGGTCTCTATTCCTATGGGGTCCGCGGGGCACCTGGCCCGGGTGGCAGCAACTGAAAGCGCAGGCCAGAGGCATCCGGCCGCGTGCCGGCGCCGCAGAGCCGGAGGTGGGATGTGGCTGGGAACTACGATTCCCAGGAGGCATCGCGCGGAGCATCCGGGTTTCCGACCCGACCTCACTTCCGGCCTTTGGGCCGCTGACGCTCTCTTCCGGTCTCGGTGGCCCCCTGAAAGGACTGTGGGGTGCGCGCGGTGAGCGCTAAGTCTTGGGGGCGCGGGCGAGGGTCGCCAGGGTCGGAACGGCGCCCGACGGTAGCGGTGGCGGCGGAGGGGCCGCTCAGCCGCGGCAGGGACGGGAGAGGCGCGCCGCGCCGGTGGGGGACGTGTCTTCCTGGCAAGAGGGGGAGGGCCGAGCGGTCTGAGCCCTTGAGGGGCCCACGGATGGGCTGTGGGGGCCCAGGCAGGGGGCGTGGGGCGGACCCTGTGGGACTGAGCAGAGGAAGCCGGTGCGACGGTCGACCCCACCAGCTGAGGAAGAGGGCGGCGGGGAGGACATGTGGGAGGTCCTGGCGGGGGCTCAGCCCTCCCGGCTGTTGGGGAAGGAGGACCCAGTGTTGGTTAGATTAAGAGAGTTCTGCTAGATTTGGTGCGGGGGCGCTCGAGGCAGGTGGCCGAGTGCTTCCATGTTTGGGTTGACTGCCCACTTGACGTCCCCCCCCCCCAAGATGAGGCTTCTGGCTTCCGTGCTGTTGGCCCTGTTTGCTGTCAGTCATGCGGAAGAAGGAGCCCGGCTTCTGGCCTCCAAGTCACTGCTGAACAGATACGCCGTGGAGGGGCGAGACCTGACCTTGCAGTACAACATCTACAATGTTGGCTCAAGGTGAGGGGGCCGGGGGCTGCAGGTTGGGCCCTTTAACGATTCTTAGATTTCCCAGCGGGACCGGAGAGCTTTGGGGTTCCTGCAGCCACAGGTATTGTGAGTGCCGGCCCTCCTGGACCTGCTTTCACCTAAGCTCGGAGAAACCTCTCCCACTTTCTGGAGCTGGAAGAGTTTCTGAGGAGGAAGAAGCAATGGGGCTTGCAGGTTTTAGCTTCCTTTCTTTCATCAACCTGTAAGCATGCGTGTTGCCTTTCTTTAATTTTATTCGCTCTCATTCTCTCTTCCATATGTGTCTTGATCCTCTCTCTCTGTACCTACACGCGTAGACACAGAAATTGGGACAAGAGAGAATTTAAGCTCTTTCCTTCCTTGGTGCTTTTTAGCCATAGAATCCAGTCCTTGACCTAGATTGTTCAGTGCAACAAACCTGTTACTATGTGACTTATATCTCTCTCGTGATGATTTTTTATTTTTAAAAAATTTTTATTTTTTTATTTTTATTTTTTAAAGATTTTATTTATTCATGAGAGAACAGAGAGAGAGAGAAGCAGAGACACAGGCAGAGGGAGAAGCAGGATCCATGCAGGGAGCCCGACATGGGACTCAATCCCAGGACTCCAGGATCACACCCTGGGCTGAAGGCAGGCACTTTAACTGCTGAGCCACCCAGGTGTCCCTGATGATTTTTTAGTACAAGCAGGCAGATTTAATTGCTGATTACTTTTTTTTAAGGTTTTATTTTTATTTTTAAGTCCTCTCCCCACCCAGCATGGGGCTCAAACTCAGAACCCCAAGATTAAGAGTTGCCTGCTTCCCTGACTGAGCGAGCCAGGAGCCCCCCATCATTACTTACTAACCCTTTTTTTTTTTTTTTTTTTTTTTTTTTATGATAGTCACAGAAAGAGAGAGAGAGGCAGAGACATAGGCAGAGGGAGAAGCAGGCTCCATGCACCGGGAGCCCGATGTGGGATTCAATCCCGGGTCTCCAGGATCGTGCCCTGGGCCAAAGGCAGGCGCCAAACCACTGCGCCTCCCAGGGATCCCCTTTTTTTTTTTTTTAAGATTTTATTTATTTATTCATGAGAGACACAGAGAGGCAGAGAGACAGGCAGAGGGAGAAGCAGGCTCCCTGCAGGGAGCCCCTATGTGGGACTCAATCCCAGGACCTTGGGATCATGACCTGAGCTGAATGCAGACCCTCGACCACTGAGCCACCCTGGTGCCCCACTTACTAACCTGTTTGTCACTCCATTTTGCAGTGCTGCATTAGACGTGGAGTTATCCGATGATTCCTTTCCCCCAGAGGACTTTGGCATTGTGTCTGGAATGCTCAATGTCAAATGGGACCGGATTGCCCCGTATCCTTGACAGTGGGTGATAAAGCCTGAAGTTGGGGAAGACACACAGCCTTCAGAGCAGCAGGTTACTTCACGTAGTCTGGGTGTGCCCAGCCATTCTTCTGTCACCTCTCTGGATAAGATGGGACAAGAGAGAATTGGGCGTGATTGAGGGTAGACCTAAGAAAAAGGAAGGAGGTTCCTCAAGTTCAGATTAGAAGGCCCTACGACACTGTGTGGGGAGGATGTAGACACATAGTAGGCTGTTTGTGGCTGGACGAGGGTACATAGACTGCTTTTGGAAGAAAGTCTGTTGGCCACTAGTGTGGAGCCCCCCAGCCCCTGTGGCCTCTGGAGGTGTTCCTCACTCAGTGTGTCTTTTACTGGCATCCACCAGTTGTTTCCCGAGTGTTTGGAATTAGATTAACTTTTCTCCCTGTGAATTAAAATGTTTAGATTTTCTGGGAAGGGTAAGTGTTCTCTTGGTGGTATTTTTTTTTAATTTATTTATAATAGTCACACAGAGAGAGAGAGAGGCAGAGACACAGGCAGAGGGAGAAGCAGGCTCCATGCACCGGGAGCCCGACGTGGGATTCGATCCCGGGTCTCCAGGATCGCGCCCTGGGCCAAAGGCAGGCGCCAAACTGCTGTGCCACCCAGGGATCCCATATTTTTGGTTTTTATTTTGTATTTTCAGTCTTCCTTCATTTAGTCAATGAAAGAGTTTCTGTAAGAAGGATTTTTCATCTGTAACATGTATTGCTTTGAAAGCTGACTTGAGGAACCTCAGTCCTGAGTACAGCGTGAAGAGCCTGGATTTTGAGTGTCTTCGAGACCCCTTCCTCTTGGCTGGGAAGTACCAGGCTTAGAGGATGGCATATATTTATTATTGCTGCAGAGGATGGCAGGCATTAAATCACATGTATGGGCTGCCTGTTTTGTGAATGGTGCATTTAGTGTATACATTGAAAGGATGTTTCCACTTCAGCTTCCTCTTCTAGCTTCCTTGACTGTTAGGTCAGTGCTAGCAATGTCTCCCACACCGTGGTCCTGCGCCCGCTCAAGGCTGGCTATTTCAACTTTACTTCTGCTACTGTTACTTACCTGGCTCAGGAGGATGGGCCTGTCGTGGTGAGTTCCTCAAACCTTAGCTGGATGGGCCAAGATCCGCTTGTCTTTGGAACTTTGCAGAAACTTTCCAAGGCACCCATTAAATTCTGAGAATGGTGAGAAGGACCAGAAGCTGGGATGCTGCCCTTAGGAAGGAAGGAAGTTTCAAATTGTAGAGATCCAGAATGAAGCAGTTGAGATGGTGGGAGGGGAGAACCGTAACCTCCCCTCCTCTTCCTGCTTACTGCTCTGCTTCTGATCTGGTCCTCACCACTTGCCACCCAGTATGTGGTTGCCCGGCCCACTACCACCCCCAACCCCCCCATTCTCTGCACCGCCACTGGCTCATTCCCAGTCTCCGCTGTTTCCGTGTCTTTCTCTGGCTTGGACCGCTCCTGCCACAGACACTCTGGTGGGGTAGCTGTTCTCTACCTCCAGCTTTCTGGCACATTCCTCCCACAGAGACCTTGCACTCTTCCCTCACTCCCCATCCTCTCTCGTTCTTATTCTTTCTCTGTTGGAAGTGTCCCCTCTCCAGGCCAAGCTGTGGACTGCATCCCTTCATTTCTGTCTTCTGCTTTTACACCTCACGATTTTGTCCTCTTTCAGCAAGCGTTTGCTGACTGCATTGAAACTTCTAGAGCCCTGACAGACTCTGCCACTCAAACATTTCATTGTGAGCTCAGTACCCCCTTTTTCTTCTGTGTAGGTCTTTACATGCCCCCTCCCCAGTTTAATCATAAACTCCTCCTGCCTGGGGACTTTGTCTTAGATGTCTCTCTGTTTCTCATATATCATAGAAAATCAGTAGTAAATAGTCCTTTGGTTGATTGTTGAAAAGGTCAACAGACATTCATTGAGCCCCAGAGTGTGCCGGGAGAAGATTGGGACACTGGGGCCATGAATTTACGAAGGCGTCTGACAAGACCTTCAGGTGGGCTGTAGGCTGCATACTGAGTACCCAGCAGGGAAGACTCTTACATCAGCTGAAGGAGTCTCTGACATTCACCACACTTATCAGATTATTTTTGTAAACCACACGGAACTGCATTCTTATAATCCTAGTTAGGTTTCACATCTTGAGTGTGTTATGCTTTCAGAACCAACTATAGAACTCTGATTCTCCTTGGTAGTTGATAGGTTAAAAGACACAAAATCAAAGGCCCAGCTGCCACTTGAGAGCAAGGCTGTTTGCAGTGTGCTCCAGTTCCTGGCCTGCTCTTGGGGCAGGAATGCTGCTGGCCCCAGCCCCTCCTCTAGTGTGTGCCTTTGGGTGGGGCTTCGTGCTTCTCAGAGTGCTCCTTAGGTCGTTGGAGCCTCGTGTCAATTTGTGAGGTGTAGACGAGCATTTCCACTGGAGGAACAGGGAAACGATTGCCAAGGACAGTCATTCTGTCACACACTGGTCCTGCAGAGGGGCTTGGGGTGTGAGCCACTCTTTCCAGAGCCTGAGGCAAAGAGGAAACGTCTGGTTTAACATCACCTGCACTCCTGGCCTCCCTTGTTGAGAAAAAGCTCCTCCTGTGTCTTCTGGTTTCTGGTTTATTCCTCTTTAGGACATGCTGAAAATCATCCAGCTCTTTCTATTTCAAAAGCTTTTGCGCGTCTCCTTAAAGCCTCTTACACCTTTGAGAATTGAAAATGTCATGTTTCCAATTGGGTCGGTTGGGACTGCCCTTCTTCACCTGAGAAGGACTTGGGTTTGCCCTAACATCATTCTTGTCTTCCTTTCAGATTGGCTTTACCAGCGCCCCTGGACAGGGAGGGATCCTGGCCCAGCGGGAGTTTGATAGGAGATTCTCCCCGCATTTTGTAAGCTCCGCAGTGTTCTCTTCCCCTTCCCCCAGGATGATAATGGGTTTTGACTGTGGGACCTTTTGGCCTCTTTAGATTTGTTCAGTTTGTTGGTTCTCATATCGGTTTTTTGGGGGTCTGACACAACCACCAAATGTCCTGATTTACCCATGATGACAGACTGTTGCCAATGAGCTCACAATTACCAGGGAACCAAAAAAACTGCCCCTTTTCACTACATGGCCTTGAGTTGAGTCCCATGTTGGAGTCCTGGGTCTATTTTGAATCTTAACAGAATATGTGTTTAGACTTTGAGAGTTGTAGAGCATTGGGGAGGTTGGGTAGGAGCACTGTTGTGGTCTAGTCTGGGAGACGATTCTTTGAAAATTTGCTTAAAGTACTAACCAGGGAGATCCATGTGTTCGTTCTGTGAATAACCATGAAGCTCCTTATTCTGTGTCCAGGCTTGTGCTTTGCTTGAGGAAGACAAAGGTGAACAAGACACACCCCCTTCCCATAAAGATCTTGGGCTTGTAGAGACCTCAGGACAGGTCAGCGGGGAGAAAAGTGTCATGACTGAGACCACAGACAGGCTGTTGGGGGAGCCCCTGACCTGGAGGGCTTTCAGGGGGAGGTGGCATTCAACCAATCAGAGGAGGTAAAGTCAGGGCAGGCATCTTAGGGAGAGGGAGTGGCTCGGGGGAGAAAAAGGCTCGACAACTAGTACCTCAAGGCAAAAAGGCAGAGAGGGAGGTGTAAGATTTGAAGAGGGGGCTGGGGTATGGGCAGGACTGGGCTCACAGGAGGCTTGGTGGTCAGGGCAGGACCCGGGCATCACCTCCCTCAAAGATAAAATGGAAGAGAGAATTTCTCTTCCAGTCTGGGTGAGGTCGGACAAGGCCTTGGGCTCTGTAGCTTGGAAGATAGGGGGGTCTGTAAAGAGCCTTCCCATCAGGAGCGGTCAGAGGAGCCTCTCTGCTGAGGTTCTGCTGAACGTTTGGGCTGTGCTGCTCCCTTCCTCGTTACACGCCTCCTTTCTGGCCCTCCCAGGCCTCGTCCAAACTTGTAAGCAGGGCCTGTGTCATCTTCCACAGCTGGACTGGGCAGCCTTCGGAGTCATGACCCTGCCCTCCATCGGCATCCCCCTGCTGCTGTGGTACTCCAGCAAGAGGAAATATGACACTCCAAAGTCCAAGAAGAACTGAGGGGCTTCCGAGGCCGCTGCCTAGGAGATCCAGGTGCTTTCCAGACTCCGGAGGGCCTCTGGAGTGCGGTCTCTCATCCCCAGCCCCTGCCACCTTCTCCAGGATCCTGCCTGCTCTCAACCAGAGTCGGGGACCAGGCCTTGGTGTCTGTGAAAGCCTCCTTCCGTCCCAAAGCCATATGAGCAGGAACGAGCAGGAATGCCTCCAGCAACAAGCCTCGGGCCCTCATCTGTGTGTGCCTTGTGGTGCTGCAGTGTGAACTGAGGGGCCCAGGAGGGGGCACTAAGGAGACTGCCTGACTCTACCCCCATCCCCTGCTCTCCCCTCTCGGAAGAGGGTGGAAGATCAGATGAAGGCCAAGTGACTCGGAGGCTACCCAATCTCTGTTCTGGGTCATGGGAGCTCTGACCAAATGGGGTTTTCTAATAAAAACAGATGCCACACTGACTTGTCTGCCTTCCTGTCACCTGGGTGAGTTCAGGCACTGGGCGCCCAGGTGCTGGGCAAGTGAGCTGACTTCCTGCCTCCTTGCTGCAGGCCTGTGGTCCTGTTTGCAAAGGGACGTCTGCCCCTTAACACGTTTGCTTCCATCCATCCCTTCCTTTTTGCTCTGGCCAGTCAGCTCATCTCGCCCTGACCCTTCCTGGCCTATGAGTCCTCTCCACAGCTAGAGGATGCAAGATGAGAGGAGGGAAGGTTGGCGCACGTGCAGCAGTTCTTAGGCCTTGTGAGACGTTCTGATCTGATTTATTCACTGACCTTGAAAAAGCTATGTCTTTTGTTTTTTAAGACTTTATTCATGAGAGAGAGAGAGGCAGAGACATAGGTATAGAGAGAAGCAGACTCCATGCAGGGAGCCCAATGTGGGACTCGATCCCAGGACTCCAGGATCACGCCCTGGCCTGAGGGCAGGTGCTCAACTGCTGAGCCACCCAGGCATCCCGAAAAAGCTATTATGTCAATGCCTAGTTCTAGGCCTTATTCTGCCTAAGAAGTAGCTTTTTTTTAATTATTTAATCTCTACATCCAGTGTGCAGGCTTGAACTCATGACCCTGAGATCAAGAGTTGCAGGATCCACCAGCTGAACCACCTGGGCATCTCAAGAAGTAGCTTTTTTTTTTTTTTTAATTTTTATTTATTTATTCATGAGAGACACACACACACAGAGAGGCAGAGACCTAGGCAGAGGGAGAAGCAGGCTCCATGCAAGGAGCCTGATGTGGGACTGGATCCCAGGACTCCAGGATCATGCCCTTAAGCCAAAGGCAGACGCTCAACCCCTGAGCCACCCAGGGATCCCAGGAACTAGCTTTTCTTGACTTAAATTCATTTTAATGTGGGAGCACCTGCAGCACTCTGAGCTGTGCCCTGGGCATGGCCTGTGGAGAGGAGTGATTGTTGCTGCAGCAGCAGGAGAAGCCACTCTGAGCTGACTCTGTCCAGGCCAGGAATGCCGTGGTCCGAGAACAGCCTCCCAGGCAGGAGGGAAACCCAACAAACACCGGCTTTGTTCCTGCCACCAAGTTGCCCAGTTTAGATGCTGTTTGGGGTTGGGGGGGGCGGTGAGAAGGGGAGAGACTGCCCAACCAGTTTAACCTTTCCTGGGCACAGCACGCCTGAGTGCCTGAGGCTGCCCCAGGAAGGATGAAAAGGACGTGGAGACATCGGGAGGCTCCAAATGGAGTAGCCCTCCACCAGCTCACCTCCCTGCTTCAGGGGCTGCGGCTCGGACCCCCCAGGACTGGTCAGGTCAGAGGACGAGGACCATACATTTGTGCTCGTTCGTTGTGTTCTGGGGGAGACCTGGGACCTCAGGAGAGTGGCGAAAGCAGTAGGTCAGAAGCTCCATGGAGAAGGAGCAGGGGGCTGGTTGGATAGGCATCATCTGGGGCTGGAATGTCAGTCTTTGGAAGAGGGAACTATATGTCCGAGTAGTCTGTAGTCTCTACTGGAAACAATGAGGAGTTCACCTGCAGTGTGAGGGGTTCTGGGTAGAAGATGGGATAAATTGCTAATTCTGGAAGGTGCCCCGGGAGATTTCTTCCTAGTCTGAACTCGAGGAGGTACTCCTTTCCCAAAAGCTGGGGCCCTCCTTCCATAGAGCTCCGCAGTGTTTGTCCTGGCACTCAGTGTGGAGGAGGCAGCTGGGGGAACCCAGGTCTGATGCAGGTGACAAGAGAAGCATTGTGAAGGCAGTTGGTGTCACAGGCACCTTGAACAAAGGCCAGAGCCAGACACTTCATCTGGAGAGATCAGGTTCCCTGGAGTCTGGGTGGAATGTGAGCCTCCCGTAAGTCATGGAGTATTGGAGAATATAAGAGCCAGTGAAACCTATAGACAGGCTCAGCTGGGATAGCTGGCTTTGTGATTGAGCCCTCTGAGCTTCTCGAAGAGATTTCATGGGAAGTGAGCAGCAGACAGCGCTCTTCCACCCTAATGGAGACCATCCTGGGGAGGTCCCGACCTGGAGACTGCCTGCAGGTCTGTGAGGGAGATGGAGAGAAGTGCTGGTCCCATACCTTTCCTGAAGATTGGGTACCAAACAAAGAGCCTCCTCCCAAAAAGGCAGTACAATTAGTGACTTAGCTATCACTGTGGTCCAGATGCCCTACACCCCCTGGAAACCAGCCCTCTATCCTCCCACGACGTACAGATGTCTAGCTGGCACCGGCTCATGCATCCACACCCTTCCCTGGTGCCTGGAGGAGCCAGGTGCCCAGATTTCCACCCACTTTATATACTAGGCCTTGGGACTCTGGCTGAAGAAAGTCCATGGGGAGCGGGTCTAGGAATTCTCAAGAAGCTGGCCGGATGGGAAGCCTCAAGCCCTGATCCCCTGGGAGCCAGGCAGCCGCCCTGGGTCCTCTGGGATTTACGCTGTGACAGCCAGTAAATCACACCTGCCTTGAGCCCGTGTCCTCATCTGAATGCTACCAGGTTTAGAGGATCTCCGAGGCCTCCACACCAGTAAAATGAGGTGGTGTCCCCCTGAGTTCCTACAAGGCCAGGAATAGCCACCATCACTCTTGTGGTCTGGGGGCCAGCCAGCAGGAAGGACACAGGTTCCATGTGGGGCAGCAACTGCCCTCCTGTCACCTAGAGAAGGGATCCACTATGGATCATTGAACTCCATCCTCTGGTTTCCTAGCCCAGGAAACACAGAGACAGCAGGGCTCGCCCAGGTCCCATGACAACGAGGGGCAGCTGACCTTTCCTGACAAGGCTGCACGCCAAATGTCTGTGTCCTGCTGTGGGCACCTATCCCCTCCAAGGTTCGCACTGGGCGGACTAGGAGAGAGGCTGCCAGGTGGCTCTGAGGCCCCGGCTCGCAGATGGTGATGTGTCCTTGGCCACCAGGCCACAGGAGGAGGCCAGGAGGGCCCCTAGGTCAGGATGTCCTCTGCCAGCCAGGGAAGCGGGGAAGCAGAGAGGGGACTCAGCCCCCCAGAAGCTGTGATGAGGAAGGGGTTGGGGGGGCTGCGCCCAAGCCCATCTTCCAGGTAATTGATGCTGCCCAGTTAATCGCCCCTACCCTGTAATCTGCCCCTTAAAGGGACCAACAGCAATTTTGCAGACAAATTCGAGAACAGGCAAAGTTCTTCCCTCCTTCCTGGGGTCCCAGGAGGACCCTGCTGTTGAGTAGGTTTCCAGCTTTGGGCCTTCCCAGGATGCTCTCCTTCTCCCCTCAGCTCACTCTGTCCCACTGGAGGGAGGGTAGAGGTTCCCTGGGGTATCAGGTGTCTGCAGGGTCTCAGGGTGACCCTATCTTGGCCTCTTGTACCTGTTTTCACATGGGCCTAAGGCCAGTGCCTGCCCTTTGTTCAGGCAGTGCTGAGGACAGGAGGACCAGGGATCCTTGACACCTGCCATGGCATCCAAGGGGTTAAAGGCCTGGGCACAGCACCAGCACCATCCTTGGGGTGTTTGAAGTAGGGCAGGGCAGGGAAGGGCTGGAGCAGTTGAGGAGGCAGCTGGTCTGGACTGGAAGAAGTGCCCCCCGTCTCCTATGCAAACTTCTGGATCATGAGCAGTAACCTAAAAAGGACTGACAGAGGTGCCCCCACTGAGGTGCTGGACTGGGTTCTGAGAGGGGCTCCCTGAAGAAGACTATTCCCTGTACTGGAGCTGCCAGTGGGAGCAGGAGCAGGGCCCCCACGGGGATATCTCCCAGATCCGGTGAGTTTCCCTCTTCACTTTCCCTGGGTCCTCACCCCAAGAACGGGGATACCCCTGGAAGCAGAGTTCCTCAAGAACCCTTCAACAAGGGCAGCCCCGGTGGTGCAGCGGTTTAGCACCTCCTTCAGCCCAGGGCGTGATCCTGGAGACCTGGGATCGAGTCCCACGTCGGGCTCTCTGCATGGAGCCTGCTTCTCCCTCTGCCTGTGTCTCTGCTTCTCTCTCTCTCTGTGTCTCTATGAATAAATAAATAAAATCTTAAAAAAAAAAAAAAGGGGGGCAGCCCGGGTGGCTCAGCGGTTTAGCACCGCCTTCAGCCCAGGGCGTGATCCTGGAGACCAGGGATCGAGACCCACGTCGGGCTCCCTGCATGGAGCCTGCTTCTTTCTCTGCCTGTGTCTCTGTCTCTCTTTCTCTCTGTCTCTGTCTCTCTGTGTCTAATAAATAAATAAAATCTTTTTTTTTAAAAAAAAAAAAGAACCCTTCAACACCCAGGAAGTGGCAGAGCAATTTGTAGCTTCTCCACTAGCCTACTGCATTCAGCTCCCATTTTTTATTTTTTTATTTTTTTTAAGATTTTATTTATTCATTCATGAGAGACACAGAAAGAGAGAGAGAGAGAGAGAGAGAGAGAGAGGCAGAGACACAGGCAGAGGGAGAGGCAGGCTCCATGCAGGGAGCCCCACATGGGACTCGATCCTGAATCTACAGGATTAGGCTCTGGGCTGAAGGTGGCGCTAAACCGCTGAGTCACCCGGGCTGCCCCAGCTCCCATTTTTAAAAAAGATTTTATTTATTTATTCACGAGAGAGAGGCAGAGAGACACGGGCAGAGGGAGAAGCAGGCTCCATGCAGGGAGCCCGATGTGGGACTGGATCCTGGGACTTGGGGATCACACCCTGAGCCAAAGGCAGGAACTCAACCACTGAGCCATCCAGGCATCCCTCAGCTCCCACTTTTAATTAGAGACTGTTGTGTGTGTGTGGGGGGGTGCAAGTGTGTAAACAGCAAATCACAAGCACAGCCAAGAGATAACACTACTTGTGTGACAAGTGATGCTAAACCCTCTATGTGCATTTTTCATCCTTATAATTTTGTGGGGTTGATATATGGTCATCCCTGTGTTAAAAATGAGGTTTGGGGATCCCTGGGTGGCTCAGTGGTTTAGTGCCTGCCTTCGGCGCAGGGTGTGATCCTGGAGTCCCAGGATTGAGTCCCACATCGGGCTCCCTGCATGGAGCCTGCTTCTCCTCTGCCTGTGTCTCTGCCT